TTATAAGGCATGTCAAATTATTTTTGGCGTACCACATGTACGCAACCAATGACATATTCATGTAATCACACACTAATATTCATTATCTCTCTTTCTCTCAAACCTCCCTTAGAGGCGAGTTGTGGTGTGTATCCAATCATGCATTGCACGTCTTTATTCATTACTTTTATCACATATTGTTACATTCACCTTCAGGAATGAATCTGCATTCTCAATGCACAAGTCACATTCTCTTCAAAGAATGGAGTATAATTATCACGACGTGCTTTATAAATTTTTCATACCAATTTGATGGTAAATATTTCCTTCACCAATTGAAGGATTACTTCGAGAACCGTTATAGTTCTCATTTTTACAATTACCATAATGATGACTATTATTTTTTGATCAATGGCACGCCCATGTTCATTGGTCAACCACTTGTCTTCATTTACTTATTATGCATTGCTACCACATTCACTTCAAGAATGGTGCAAATCAAGTGGGACAAGATTCATGCTTTTCCATGAAAAATACATTATTTTTCTTTAATCATCACTATGTCATCCATATGGTGCATTGGAACTCAAACCCAATGCTTGACCCATATAAAGATAATGAGTTGGGACTCGAACCCAACTTTTACAATCATGGATCATCAGGACTCAAAACCCGATGTCTTACCCTCATGGTGCGTTGGGACTTGAACCCACCGTCTTATCCTTAATTAATGGCATAATATGCCAAAGTAGACTCACCCTTGAGACTTTCATGGTATACTACTTTTAATAGTAATAAAAGTAAACTCATATATGTGTTGCACAATAAGTATCTATTTACTGGTAACAAAGGAATCAAAGTTCTTCAAATCACTTTGCAAAAGCTGGTGTATCTCCTTAATTTATGTACATCTTTGGTCTCTGGTTTAGTATGTAACATTTAGCTACATCAGTATATGCTTCTGATTCTCATATAACATCTAACCTGGACATTAGGTGAAAGAGATTAGATTAAACTTACAATAAATATTAGAAAGAAAAACATGGAGTAGTAATTAATTTACATCTAAGTATTTTCAACTTTACAAAGTAATACTTAGTATTGGAAACTTTTCCGACAAATAAAGAACCTTTGAGAAAAACTAACAAGAAAATGAATTAATTAAAAAAAAATTAGAAAACGTATCTTAGCATTATATGCCTTTTCACGATGTACTAGTCTCCTCAACCTTGATATTCGTTTTATTATATTTCATACCATTATTTGAAATTGCTAAATGGAAAAAAAAAATTCATCTCTTCCGGAGGAATATCATGCACAACAGACATATGCCTTTTCTGATATAAGACAATTTTGTAGATGTAGTAACTCAATTGGATAGAGACTCGTGCTGATAACGTGTTACGAAACTTAGCTCAAAGTAATAACATAAAACAAGAAGATAGACAACAACTCTCGCGGCCCAGAATCAAAAAAGAATCCTTCAGTGCAGGATAACCCCAAGGGGTTGTGGGTTTTTTTCTACCAATTGGGGCTCTCCCAATGTAGAGAGAAAGAGAGGACAAAATCTTATTTCTTCATGTATTCAAGTGTATTACAAAATGAGTTCTCATCCTCTATTTATAGTACAACATAGAGGTATACCAAAAGAATTCCATAAGTATGCCATTAAGCATTTGAGTTCATGGAGGAAGATCATGGGTAGGTTATGAAGGTGAGGAAGTTACAACAATAATGGTGAGAAGTAGTGGGGGTTATCTACATAATGGAGAAGAATAGTGGGAGTTATATTTGATTAGTGGACATCCATATAATATGTATTTCATAACAATTTGTAGTTTATTTAGTAGATTTTTGTAGAAAATTTGTTGACTGGAGCTAGAGGAATGGAAAATTTGATTCTCTTTTTCTTCTTCATGGGAGACTCCCCGAAATCAGATTCCAATGTATCTTCAGGCGCAACAAATTGCTGGTGAATCTCGGTAATGGATGATGTTGGAGACATGAGTTGACTTACTGGGTATGGATTAAAAGTTGCAGGGCGTGGACGTGAAAAATGAGGAAAGAGAAGCCTGCAGAAAAAGGAGGAATTGTGAATATGAAAAAATATTTAGTTCCAAATTTTTAGGCGCCTAATTTGGAAGGAATAAGCTATTCAAATATTTATCCCAGATTTGTAGGCGTCTAATTTGGAAGGAATCAGCTCTTAATATTGGGTATTTAATGAATGGTATAAATTTTGTAGGAAAAATATAAACATGGCGGGTAATAATGAAATTATGCACATTTTTAGTAATAAGGTTTCATATATGGTATAGATAGGAAAAAATCCCATAAATTAATGAATGCTGATAAGTAGTTTGTTACACATATTTATCGCTTAATATAGTTAATCAAACTATTTTCTCACTTTAGTTTTTACCTACTAAGATTTAATTGTATAATTTTAATGTAAATACATGATGCAAGTCAATATTTATCGGGCTATAATAATCGCGTTAAATTATATTTGAAACTTTAGGTGTTGATTTGACAAAATAAAAATTTAATCAAATGCCCAAATCGGACCTAAGAAAGTTGTTATGTACGTAACAACATGTAGATAAGAGAGCCTAATTTGATTCACAGTTTCAAAAGTTTTAATTCAATTGTCAGCTATTGTTTAGTTATATTTGTTTAACTGATACATAATTAGTTATGCCAAAAGAGCACCCCTTGACTAAGCTAGTTTGGAAAATCTGATTTGGGTAAAATTCGGTTTGATGATGAAAATGTGTTTGGACATCAGTTTTTAAAACTTATTTTGGAAAAATATGAAACATGACTTATACCAATAAGTTTTAAAAACTATTACAAATACCCATCAATACCATTATCAATAACATTCATATTATCGCAAACCATAGTCCTGAACATAAATAAATTTGGTACAAAATTATCATTTTTATAATGAACTACATGATATACTATTAGATGATTGAGAAGACGAAATAATATTGTAACAAAATAATAAATTGTGGGCTCTTTTATAAAATACAAAGTTTGGGATAATTTTTAAAAATATATAGTAGTGATATTTTGGCCCAAAACCAGCTATTGAGCTGGTTTTGGGATTTGAGATTTTGTTACAGTTTGAGATTTTGCCAAAATGTAACAAAATCTATGGTCAAACATATGTTTGCCAAATAAAACTCAAATTTATTTTGACAAAATTTACGGCCAAACATGTCCGCAATATTATCTAGTGTACTTTAACAATCACAAAATACGAGTTAATATTAGTAAAAAACTAACCAAGCTAGCAGCCTTCCATAACTTCCCAAGTTTTAGAGATATCATCATTTTCATTCATTGAGAGTAAATTATATTGCTTTTTGTGAAAAGAATTTAGTACTCTTTATCATTCTCCAAACTGAAAGATTCAACTTATATCATCTTCAGTTAATTTCAGTATTTTTAATAATTATTCTGACAAAAAAAAAAAAAAAAGAGAAGAAGAAGAAGTTAGAATCGATAATCATAGTGTCCAAGCCAGTTTGCATATACCTCGACTAGTTCCACGTAGGGGTGTTCAAAATCCAAACCGAAAATCGAACCGAAACCGAAGCTTAATGGCTTATTGGTATCGGGTTAACGGTTTAACAGACGGGGAACAGATTGAAATTTTTTTATTAACGGCTTATCGGTTTGGCGGTGGATTATTCAATTTTCTTAGCGAATAATCCGTTAACCCGCTAAGAATATATATATACATATAAAATTTATTTTTATCCATGTTTATATTAAATAATCAAAAAGCCTTCTTCCTCCAGTACTCTATCAAAGTGAATTAGAATAAAAGAAAGCCAAATAAAAGGAGTCATCTTACTATGACAAAAGACAGAATTTGCTGTCTGAAATAAGATAACAAGACCAGTTACACCACTGTTTCATCAACTTTGCCTGGGTTTTAAGGCACCCTAGAATTCAAAGCATGACGAACATTTGTTTTAACAACGGCCAATTGGAAATCTTTCACATGGACTAAGGCCAATGTGCATAAACATAAATAAGATTCTAGACAGATGATTTACCCATCATGGTGTCTCTTCTGCTTCGTCCCTCTTAGTATGTTGACCACCTATTTAAACATGCAGAGACTAAATTTTATTTAATTTTGATTGAATTAGGCCGATAAATAGTCCGATAAGAGCTAAACTGATACTAATCCGCCCGATATCTTATCGGGTGGCTAGCGAATTAATGCATTTAAAAGTCGATAATCGATAAGCCAAACCGTTAAGAGTAAATAATCGCCCAGTCCGCCTGATAAGCAGCCCTAGTTCCACTTCCACGGGATACCTGCTATCTCTCACCAGCAACAGGTACCGTAACTCTGTCCACCAAAGTTAGACTTATAAGAAGAAATCACCTAATTTTTTTAGCGTCCATTGAAATTTGCTATTTTTTTTTAATTAAGGACAAATATTTATCAAGATTGATTTTTACTTTTCAAAAAAAATATACACCATCTTTTTTCACATGACAACATAAATAGTATCCACAATATAGTTATTATATATATCTTATTTAGACGGAGATTATTCTCTCATAAATTTTATTCTTTCTTTTATATTACTTTTGTTATCTATAGTTTAATTGACTAAATCAAATAAAAGTAGTATGTCTCTTTTAATATAGTTCTCTTTGTTGTCTCATTTATCTTCGTTCAGGATTTGCTTTGTTATATTTCACATGATACTTGAGTTATTTCGATCCCAACAAAAGAACAAGATACTTAGGATTCAGAATGGTGGAACTAGGGGTGTGCATAGGTCGGGTCAGATCAAAATTAACATATTTCAGATTGTATAAAATGCAATCTGAATCCAATCCGAATTAACATCGGATCAGATTATTTTAAAGATTGGATCAGGTAAATATTTCGAATTTTTGGATCGGATTGTACGCATTATTAGCTATTGTTAATCTAATCGACTATTACAATTTTTAAGGTTACTTCCATTCATCATTCTAATAAATTAAAAGGCAACAAATGTCTTTCATTGCATAGATAAAACACAATTTTCATGGCAAAATAAAATAAACTAAAATCCCAAATAGATATCTAATAAACTGATATCATCAACAAGAATTCATTAAAAGATTACACAAAAGAGTTTTAAGTTCCTATTTCCATAGCCATCCCACTCAATTCTTGTCTTCTTAATGTACTCCCCTTCATTCTGCAACAATAAAAGAGAGGTTTAGATTGTACACTCGTGAGAATGCATACTTATATCTGTTCTCTTTATAAAGAAAATTAGAGAATATAAAACAGGTAATTTTTTCTTATAGGTTAAATGTACAATCCTGACAAAGTATAGAGTTTAATAGTATATAAGTGTCATTGGCCATAAGTTACTGTTGATAAGAAACCTTGACTTCCTTAGCTCCTTAAGAAAAATGGCATAGCCCCTCGTTAAGTATTTTGTTAGTTTCTTTAGTCAGATCATACCAAACAATCATCTCAAATATGCTGAATACAACAAGAATCACTAAAATATATATAGAGATGCAACTTGTTATAAAATAGGGCACATATCAAGTATAAGAATGCAATAAGACAGTAGTAATACTAGGAATCCTTTTACAATAAGAATCACTAAACTATATATAGAGATGCAACTTATTATAATACATCGACGATGCAAGATTCTCTGTCGGTATTAACATATTATGTAGAATAAGATAGTAATAGAAGAAATTAGTGTAAAAATAATCTAAATAAACATACAAATAAAATATATATTAAACACAAGTAATAGAAGAAATAAGATAGTCTTACCAACTTCAAGTTGTTCAAGATTATCCAAATCTTCTTCAATTTTAACCGAAGTTGTTGATTCATTCTGGAGCCAATCTTGGACACACATAAGAGCGTGAACCAATCTAGGAGTCAGCGAACTCCTAAATGGATCAAGTATGCGTCCACCGGTACTAAAGGCTGATATTGAGACAACACTAGAAATCCGAATGACCACACATCACATGACATCTCAGCAAGAGTGGAAAATCTAGATGAGTTCAACTCCCACCACCCATAGTGTTAAACTTTTCATAGTCATCTGCAACATCTTCACCCAATATTTATCTAACTTTATTTTAGAGTCAATTCATTCGCCCTTCTTATGCTTCTTTAAATCTAGCATGAATTTTTAGAGTGATGATGAAGAAGTAGATGAAGATGTAGAAAATAGACATGAATCGGAAGATGGACATGAACCAGAACCACCATTGAACAAAGATTCTATATATGTCTTCACCATCTTGTATTTCCACACCTATTATTTCTCCAAAATATAGCAGCAAGTGCAAACGAAAGAGATTGAAACTTGTGACGTGGATCCAACGCACATGAAATAAAAATTATTTTGTTCATCATTTTTGGCTCCCTCCAATAACTCTTTTTTCTTTTTGTTGAATGAGAAACTAGAGTCAGACTTAGTAAAAGTAAGAAGAAAAGAAGGATTATTTCTGGGGTGGTGCTTCTATCTGATCCTTTCTCTTTCATATTCTTTGCTATTTCTTTGAAGGCAACATCTTCATTTTGCATCAATTCTTTCAAAGAAGAACTAACAACACATGTCTCAAGAAAGTGCACATTAAACGTAATGTAAAGTGTATCTGATACCTTTAAGGTGAGCTCATACAAAATTTCAAGAAACTTCACAATGCGTCTTACAATATTCCAATCAGTACTTAATAGTGGTCCTGTAGGTTGTCCATCCTCACAAAGACAATTAGAATTATATGACATCAAACCATAATCAATATCACAATATTTTATAAAGACTTCCTTATAAACTGTAGGAACCTTCAACATCAAATATGCGGAGTTCCACAGACACACTCTCTTCTTTCAACCCATCTTGAACAACTAAATTGATGATGGGAGCCATACATCTCACATGAACGTGCTTACCTTCCATCAAGTCAGTGTACCATCTAGTAAACTATTTGGACAATTCTTTAACCATGACATTGTTAGAACTCGCATTATCAACTGTCAAAGTAAATATTATATCTGCTCCCCATTTAAGTAAACACTTAACAATACCAGTAGCTAAATCTTGACCTTTGTGACTAGTAATTGGACAAAAATTCGATACCTTTTTATGTAATTTCTAATTCTTGTCAATATAATATGATGTAACACACATATAATTATTTCTTTAGATTGAAGTCCATGTATCAATCGTAATACAAATCTCTGTTTTGATTCTTACAAAATTGACTTCAAAGCAACTGTCTCTTCATGGTAAATATCAAGACAATCCCTAGTCATAGTAGTACGAGATGGAATATGAATGAAGGTTGAAGAGTTCTCACAAAGTCTTTAAATCCATCTTTTTAAACAGATATAAAAGGTTATTTATCTGTAATTATCATACGAGCTAAAGCCCTCCTATATGCCTCTTGATCAAATTTTCAAGGGATAAGAGACATCACTTGTTTGACCTTTCTGTTGAAAAGCTAATCTTGTTTGGCTTATCTCCGCTTTATGGAAATTGTTCGGACACTTGAGCATATGCGATAGCAAATAGCTTGTACCGCTATTTTTGGTGTTAGCTACATATTCTTCTGAACAATACTTGCATTTCGCTTTTTTAACACCCTCGACATCATTGAACTTGTTGAAGTAGCACCAAGAAACTCATCTTTCTTTCATGGCTTTTATTTTTTTCGAACCAGATTTAGATTCAATGTTGGTTGTGGAATCATTTGAAGCACCACTTTCACCATATTTTTCAAGAGTTTGAAGTTCATTCGTCTTATCTACCTCATCTTCCATCTTCGAAACTGTCACGACCCAAACCAAACGGCCATAACGGGCACCCGGGCCTTACTTGTCGAGCACCAATATAACGTACCTATGTAACCACATCATGCATAAATGGTCCAGAAGGGCCATCATGAGATAATATGAGTAAAACATAAGGGAATACTTGACATAGGATGATCCGACGTGATATACAATTTTATACATGTGATGCAAGGGCCTATAAGTCCGACATGACCATTTGTACACTCAAAACATAGGCCGACAAGGCCATATAAGCATCCATATACATGACATATTTCTACAAGCCTCTAAGAGTACATAAATATCTTAAGATCGGGATATAGACCCGCCATATCAATCAATACATGTACCAAAATACACTGACCAAAAAGGTAACTCCGGAGCAAGTGGAGTGAATCAACACATTCCGCTGAGCTGATAGCCTACTAGGAAGACCATCAACTTGTGTAACTGGACCTTTGGCATGAAAAACATCATCCCCTGACAAAAGGGACGTCAGTGTGAATAAAGTACCGAGTATGTAAGCCAGGAAAGCATAAATAAGAGCAATAATATAAAGAGAGATAGAGAAGATACAACATGTAACATCTAAGTACCTCTGAGGGCGACTGACATAAAATGCATGATACATACATATATATATACACACACATACATATATTTTTAAAAACATATGCCTCGATGGGCAACATCATCATCATATCGTACCCAACCATAATAGGCTCGGTAAAAACGCACCTGGCCCTCACAAGGCTTGGTATAATCGTACCCGCCGACATGGAGCTTGGTAAAATCCAACTGATCAGTAGTTGCACAATAGGTGTTGTACCCGGTTGACTATAGCGCAGCTTGATAAGTGTGGATTTTGACCACTTATTAGTACCTTCTTGATTTAGTTTTAGTCCGAAAGTGTTGATTTGTGTTCCTAAAATGAATGAAAGTGTGCAAATTGCAGGAATGTTGGAGATTTAGACCCTAATGAAGAAATCCAACTCAAAAAGGAGTGTTCCGGCTCACAAGGAGAGAAGGGGCACAACAGACCAAAAGTGCGGTCCGTAGAAGTATGTCTGCGACTGCAGAAGAAAACGCGGACCGCAAAAGTCTCTCTACGGCCGCAGATCTATTATTGAAGCTCGAGGGTGGAATGAAGAGAAGTGCGTACCGTACACAATTCGGGCGGCCGTAGAACATGGTCGCACTAACAAGAATTCAGAAAGTTCAGATAGTGTGCAAAATGACCAAGACTGAAGCCTTGCCTGAAGTGCGGACAGTACATGGAATTGTACGGCCGCAGAAGACGAAGTGCAACCGCAAATCAAATTATGCAGCTGCAGAATCTCTCAACCTGCAGACTCAAGCAAAGAGCGGAATGCACATGGAATTATGCGGCCGCAAAACATCCCGAAGGGCATTTTGGTCATCGAATTTTGGGCCACTATAAATAGATAATCACTTTTTTAAGTCAAGTTTTTGATGTTTTTAAGCTGTGCCGTTGTATTTTACCATTTTGGGTAATTTGTGATCATTTTGGGAAAAAACATCATAGTTTATCATTTTAATTTTATATTACGACTTTAATTAATATTTCTTCTTAATTTTCTTCAATTTCTACTATGAGTAGCTAGACATTTACTAGGGTTGTGACCCAACCCTAGTGTGTAAATATTATGGGTAATTAATCTAGTGCTTGTTAATGATTGTGTATTTGTTATTTAGCCTTGTTCATGCTTTAATTTTAGAATTAATGGTTGCAAACATTGATTCATGCCTTTTTTACTTGGTCTGTACTTGAGAAAGAGAGACTTAGTCTAGAAAAACTTGGCTAACAAGAAATTGGGCTAGTTAAGCTTTTGAGTAGCCTAATTAAAGGGTTTGAACTATAGATAGGGAAAACCCGACTTGAGCTCATATCAATTATTTGGTTTGATACCCATTTGGTCTTGAGAAAGTCAAATTGGGCAAAATCACTCTATGACCGAGAGTTGAGAGCTATAATATACCTCAATCACTAAAACAAGTGTTAACGTAATTAATCCATTAGGCTAACACCTAGGCGAAGATTACATCCTAGGCTTTTTACCTATTTGAAAACAACCAAACACAATTAGTCAATTTATGGTTTCATCTCTCTAGTTAATCATTAATAGTGTAGTTCATAGAAGTAATTTGCATCACCAACTTTATTGGGAGTGTATTTAGTCTATTCTTCTAGACGCATTAAGTGTACACTCTAACACCCATTCTTAGCTCCTTGAGGAAATCGACCCCGACTCATAGTTGGGTACTATTCTTCCAACGACCTATTCCACTCATTGTTGAGTGTGGATTGGGAGTGGATCAATTTTTGGCGCCATTGATGGGGAGCTTTAACGGTGTTAGCTATATATTTGAGTATGTTTTTGGAATATCTTCTTTTCCTTCCGTGTTACTAACTTGTTTAAGAAATCATAAGTACAAACATGGCGAACAATGAGCTTGGAAATATGCCTTTGGGGGACTTGGACGGCGAAGAACAACAACTCGATGAGGTACCTCAAGTGAAACAAGCTTACAAGAGAGGCCAGGTACCACATGACAATGTACCCGTTCCACCCCCACCTCCACCACATCCACCACAAGCGGCTCAAAATCGGATATTGCCCAACGAAGGTTATGCTAGTGCAATAGTTCCTCCCCGTATTAGGGTCGGCAACTTTCAAATCATTAATGTGATGCTCACTCTACTTGAGCAATGTGGCTTCTTCACCGGTGCACCTACCCAGAATGATTACAAACATTCGAAGGGATTTATGGATACATGTTAGGGGAGCAAGCAAACTAATATTTTCGAGGATGCATTGAGGCTAAGGCTTTTTTCCTTCTCTCTACGGGGGGAAAGCTTTAGATTGGTTGGAATGTTTGCCGAACCATTCAATTCGCACTTGGGATGAGTTTGCGACCAAGTTCATTGCTAAGTTTTTCTCTCCTGAGCACATGGCTACACTTCGAGATGAGATATTGGCATTCAAACAAGAGCCAAATGAACCACTACACAAAATTTGGGAGCGTTATAGAACAATGGTTAAGGAATATCCCAATAATGATATGATGG